ATGTTCATGAAAGTTTAAATTGGTAAGTTGTATGCAAAACTGCCTCATTTTTATCCTGTATATGAGATTAATACAGCTTTGATATTTTTTTCCTTTAATGTAAAATGAATTTTGACTTAATAGAGTAATAATTGAATGCTCTGACATTGGAAGAGATTGGACAGCCATTTGTCTGTAATGGTATAGGGTTTCCTGCCCAAGCAAGGTGTTGGACTTGAAGACCTTCAAGTTCCCTTCCAATTCTGTTATTCTATATTCTAAATTCCATCTCAAAAATAATTGAGCCAATGGAAATGGAGCAGAGCATGTGTGCTGCAGAAGCCAAAAAAGCTAATACAGTTGTGGGTTGTATAAACAGAGGCATGGAATCAAAATCACGTGAAGTATTAGTACCGCTTTATAAAACCTAGTAAGACCACATCTGGAATACTGCAACCAATTTTGGTCACCATATTACAAAAAAGATGTTGAGACTTTGAAAAAAGTTCAGAGAAGAGCAACTAAGGTGATCAAAGGCATGGAAACTAAAATATATGAAGAATGGCTGCAGATTTGGGTGTGGGTAGTCTAAAGAAAAGAAGAAATAGGGGTGACATGACAGCAGTATTCCAGTATCTGAGGGGCTGCCATAAAGAAGAGGGGGTCAAATTATTATCCAAAGCACCATAGGGCAGGACAAGAAACAATGGTTGGAAACTAATCAAAGAGAGCAAGCTGGAATTAAGGAGAAATTTCCTAAAAGTGAGGACAATTAACCAGCGGAACAGCTTGCCTCCAGAAATCATGGGCGCCCCATCACTGGATGTTTTTAAGAAGAGTCTAGATAGACACTTATTTGAAATGGTATAGGCTCTCCTGCTAAACAAATCATTCTCTCAACACTGTTCAACTATTACAAAGTCTGCACTACTATAACTGTTAAATCTTGTCATCATTCCTTATCACCCCTCCCCTCCCACTTGTGACTGTATGACTGTAATCTTATTGCTTGTATCCTAACAATTTATATTGACTGTTTCCTAGTATGATTGATTGCTTATTGTACCCCATGACTATCATTAAGTGTCGTACCTTATGATTCTTGACTCCCGACGAATGTATCTTTTCTTTTATGTATACTGAGTGTATTTGCACCAAGACAAATTCCTTGTGTGTCCAATCACACGTGTCCAATAAAGAATTCTATTCTATTCTATTCTATTCTATTCTATTCTATTCTATTCTATTCTATTCTATTCTATTCTATTCTAT